GTACGTATTCAGTTTCTGATCCTTCCACATACTTAGTTAGACTAATTTTTTCAATATCTACGTGTTATAGCTTTATTGATGTCAAAGACAATCGCTACAGCCCCCAGATGTTACCTATTATTCCAAAGGATAAATGGCGAAAAGGATCTCAGGTTCTTATTCTATCTTCCCTAACTATTTACTGTTAATTTTCACTCTTGAGAATTTCAAATGATAATCATGTTTTTCATCTGCAACTTCACATAAATAGTTTGCAAAGCTATCGTTTTGGATGTGAAGTTCAACGTATGAGGTTTTTTTTTTTTTTTTTAATGTGCAAATTATTGAATTAATATTTTTCCTATTAACAAATTACGTAAGAGTAATTTATCTATCTTGTCTGCTTCATTTTGTTTATTTTTACTGTAATAGACACTTTCAAAAGCTCAATATATAACTGAGAGCATCATCATGTAAATCTATTAAATGATTAAACCTCATGGGATTTGAGACGGAGGTGCTAGCCGTTTAAAGTGCCACCTTAGCATCTATACTCAAAAGTACCTTAACATGTGTACGAACAAAAGAGGGTAGCATTAAAACCATTTATAATGTACACAATAAATTTAAATTTAATTAACATGCAAATTTATTCGAGAACATCTTCATCATTAAATAAAAAATTTTAAATGAAATTAAAACCATTCATAATGTCCATCTTTATTTAGTATTTAATTCTTTTCTATTTTAAAGTATTTATTTTGTTATATATTCAATTATCAGTATATAAATAAATTTTAACAATATTTCTCAAAAACAAAAAAATTGCCTTAAAATTATTCACAGTGATAACTTTTAGCTTTTTTTTTTTCATTATTTTTAGCTTCTTCTTCTTCTTATATTAATTTTTTCGTCAATATACTTTTTTTCTTTGACAATTCTAACCCTAAAGATTTGCCATCGTCCATTTAACTCGTTTTTTCAATGAGTTCTAAAATTGATATTACGCAATGAATAAATTGGGAGGTCTTTTGTCTTGATTAGATTTTTACTTTATATATATATATATATATATATAAATTAAATTTGACGATGAAAAGTGGATGGCTTTTTTTTTTGAAAATGACCATTACTTCCTTGAGTAAATTATAAATTATTCCTTATAGTTTTCAAAAATAAACTAATTAGTCCTTCTTGTTTTAAAAATTAATTATTTAATCTTTTTTTGTCTATTTTACGATTTTTTCTAATTTTTTTATTTTGTTTTGAAAAAAAAATATTTAAAAATATTAACATAAAAAAAGATATTTTTTAAATTATAAAATAATATTAAGTTAAATTAGATCGATATTGTTAAAATGGACTAAATAATTAGTTTTTAAAATGAGAAGAGTTAATTAATTTCTTTTTCAAAACTAGAAAAATAATTTATAATTTACTCTTACTTTCATTGTGTAAGGTTAACGGGTTATTAAAGTTAATTTTTTTCTTCCAACTTCCTGAACTCAAAGCCTTAAATACGGAAACCATCAACATTAATTAGTTTTTTTTTTCAACATAAAATTTAGATCTGTTATTAGACAACTAGAAACGTAGATGGTTGTTTGTATTGTTGGCCATTATATTTTTCTCAAATTTGAGCTTTAAATGATCACTAAACAAATGGATGGTTTTATGGTTTAAGGTTATCAATTGAACATTATTTTCATTGTATAATTGAAATGCATAGTTTACCTATATGGAGTAGTTCTTTTTTTGTTAGTATACTTTTCTCAATTTACATAATTTTTTTTTTAAAAAAAAAACAAGGTTGCAAAATGGTTTTGTTTCTAAACAACCATCTTCACCTTTCTTACAATTTGTTTCATCCTTATTCTAAAATAATAACAAGCATTTCATCCATCATGATTCTATGAATTCTGTATCTTTACTAACTTCTTAAATGTTCATTAAAATGGAATGCATCCACTATCGTTCAAATTTTCATGGGAAGATTTTTTTTTTAATTTTTTTTATAATTTATATAATTGTTAATTCTAGTAGAATTTTAAATGTTAACATCCAAATGAAAACAATGCATGTTTATGTTAAAAAAAAAAAACAATAAATGGTATCCAAATCCTTTTTTTTTTTTTCCCTCTTTGCTCTTATATTTGATTTGCTCACTTTATTGATTTTTCAACAGCCAATCAGTGAAAAATAAGAATATAACAAATTGTCTTTGTTTTGAAGTATATTGATAGATTTTCATTAGTGTTCAATTATCTATATCTATTCCATTTTAAAAATATGGTATATTCTTTTTTAAAAATATGGTAGAAAGTGGTATGTAATTAGAGATTTGCAATTCTATTTTATGTGGATTTTTTATTATTATTGGAGTTTATTTGCCTATTTTGATTTCAATATTGGATAGTGGTTTAAAAATGAGTTTTTTCCCATTATATAATCTTTGTATTTTTTTAATTGTTTTGATTAAGACTTTGATTTTTTTTATTTTTTTTTCATATTGATTGAGTTTTTCTAATCTTCATTTTGTTTTATTGTTCGACAATGGACTACTGAGTTAGCTAATCCTGTACAATCCTAGCTAAATTCTTATCTACTCATCCTATGATATTAACATTGGACTTTCTAGTGGAAATCCTAAATTTTAATTGTTGAGATATCCCTTTTGAGTATGCATAAATGCCATTAACTAAAAAATATGACCAAATTAAAAAAACCTCATGCATTATGTGGGTAAATATTGTCTAGTGTTTAAAAGATCGAGTTCTATGTATATTACACAAACTGGAGAAACAAACCACGTGTTCTTTTATATATTTGCACCGCTGAATTGTATTTTACTCATTTTTTTATTCATTGATTCTAGTGGATATCTTTAGTCAGAAGACATGCAGAGATGTTAGCAGATGATTATATTGTTCTTTCTGTATTCAAGAAATTTTGCAAGGTATTTGAGGAGATGCTGCTTTTTACTCACCTTTATTCTAGTTTTATTTGGTTAATTATTATCTATTAATTCAATTAAATTCAAATCTTATCTTAGTTTTTTAAGAAAGGTATATATATTAACCTTTTGAGGAGAAAATTAATTTAGTGCATAATTTTATATGTTAGCATGAGATGAATAACAAATGTTTTTTTTTAATGTTTCATTTTCTTAGCGATGGCCTCCTATAAATATATATAACAACCAAAGACAGATTCTGCAAACCTCTGTAAGAATTCTATTTTCAATTTTAGAAAAAGAAAAAAAATCAACATTTCAACGTTTGTAAATTTTATTGTTCAAACAAGCAACTAATTATCTTGGTTAGTTGCGTAGGACCAATTACAGAATTTTCTACCGAGTGGATCGTCAAAAATAGACAAACATCGTAATTGTATTCCTGATGAACACTATGTGCAGACATTATTCGCGGTAAGCAACTGGTTATCATTTTTATGTCAATTTTAAATTTTCACTCTATTCATTGTTTCATCATTAATTAATAACTCTTTTTTTTTTTAGTGACTTCTTTTGTAAATGATCATGGTTCTATTATTATTATGTTTAAAACATTTCATTCAATATGTTATCCATGATCCATACACTAAGATGAATGGGCTTGAAGACGAGCTTGAAAGAAGATCATTAACCTTCACCATGTGGAATCAGTTTGGTATGGGAGGGCAATCACCATGGCATCCTTTCACCTTTGACTATGCTGATGTCACTCCTCAAAAAATAAAAGAAATAAAGGTGAGCTCGATCGGGCCGGAACATTTTCTAAAACATTAGATCATGGACATGGTGTTTATCGAAACTAGCTAACATTTGATTGATTTATGATGAGTTATTGTTTTCCGTTATGTCCTCTAAAGTAGACACAGAATGTGGTTTTGCATATTGACGTGATCAAATTAAGTCCAAAAGAATCATCTACCCAACTTCTAGGGGTGGCAACTTGCTAATGATATTCAAAATTTTACCTCGAACAAGATACGAGGTGAGGATAAAATAAAATTTTTTGGGATGGGACAAGAGTAGGAGTGGGCATAGACGAGATGGAGATGGTTATTCCCACTCCCGATCTGCTATTTTATCTTTAAAAATGATAATTTGAAGAAGTTTTATCCCATCCTGTTTAGAGTAAAGATGGTATTTAAAATTTTGTCTCGAATGAGACACGAGGCAGAGATGTGGAGCAATCCCCGTTGCCATCCCTACCAACATCCTATACATTATTTTAGTTTTTTACTCGTCAAGCCTCCCCCATGCATCAAATCTTCCTGACTACCTTTTTAATTCTCCAATCTTACAGGTTATCGATCATGTCTTCAATCGGTTTGAAAATCAGAGAGAGTGGTGCCAAGTTGACAACCTAACTACTTCTTGTTTTTTGTTTGCAAGAAAATTCACATACAGGGCAGCCTTGCGCCTCTTGACACAAGACTTGATTGGTTTACGTGATCCTATTGTATTACCTTTAACTACCAACTACGCAGCCATAAACAGCTCCGCTAGCACAGAAAAAGCATAATTAAGAAAAGGAAAGACTTGCTAGTTTTGTAAGAATGGAAATGGTAAAGATTTGACGCTAGTTATTAATTAGTGTTTCAAATAAATAATTTCTTCTTTCTATATATCTAGATAGTCATAGTTAAATAGGATCAATGTCCTTAATTATTTATTTAGTTTCTTTCCAATAACAATACCCAGTGTCTGTCTACAAATATGGAGCTCCTTGGCGTTTCGATCAAACGTTGATCATCATTTCTTTCAATTTATCTCCCTCTTCTTGCAATTTAATTTAATTTATAACTCGAACTTATCTGTATAAGATAAATAAAGAAAGGCGTTAGCCTGAGGAGAGGGATCGAATGAAAGTGCGCCACGTAGGAGATACAAAATATCTGTATCGAATCTAGCTAGTCGAGTAAATTACCTTGTACGTTATCTAGCTTCCTCGTCCATCTCTCACCTCTGCCTGTCTTCCTCTCCTCCTACCTTCTCTAAAACTGAATAAATAAAAATGGCTCCTTTGAATGAGAACTGCTTAGAGGAAAAAATTCCAAAATGCATAGCACCAAGTTTTGTACCAAATTCCATGGTGTTGCTCTCTTCTTCAATCCTTCAAAACCCATTATTTCTCAGACCCCCTGCAAAGCAAAATCCAAGTATTATCATGGGTCAGCTTCATAATACAATCACTTCAGCAGCTGAGAAATGCTTGAGATTCGTCCATTCCTTTGCCTCTCAAAATCCCCTTCTCAAAAACATTATAACTGATTTTAACCAACATATCACCCAGGTTAGTGTCTGTCTCTCTTTCTCTTCTCTCTATGTAATAGTATCTTGCTTAAATAATTTGTTTTTGATGAAATTGTTCTTTCTTATCTTAGATTCAATGCAGGAGGGAGTACGACAGGAGGAACGTGAACAACTGTCTGTCAAATCACAACTTTGCAGCTGTCTTACCAGGTGATTCAGTGGCGGGGCTAGTGGTGGCTAATGGGATCACTAATTTCTTGAATCTATACAACACTTTGTTGGTTGTAAGGCTTGTTTTGACCTGGTTTCCTAACTCTCCTCCTGCCATTGTTAGTCCTCTCAGGTACACCACCCTTCTGTTTAAATCTACTTGTTTGTCTTAATTTTGTACTTAGTGCTTAGAATCACATTGATTGACTTGCTGGAAATTAATTACTTTTGAGTTTTGGTAAGGCTAGAAAAAATCAACTTTGCTAAGAATTAGATTGCTTAGTTTAGCATAATATGTTTGATAATCAATCTGTTGCCATGCCGAAATGGATCGATATCATATCACTTTCGGCTTGAACATCTTTTTGCTTCAAGTGATAATGAAAAGCTTGATAATTGCTTGTTTATTTAGTTTTTTGAATTTGTTATGTTAGAATCTTTATGTATGTATGTAATTCAGTGTTAATGTTTGAATGCAGCACTTTGTGTGACCCGTACTTGAACATATTCCGCGGGATCATTCCACCACTAGGAGGGACGCTGGATCTTTCTCCGATACTGGCATTCTTGGTTCTAAATGCCTTTACTAGCACTGCTGCTGCACTTCCTGCTGAACTACCAGAAAATGGAGCTTCTCCTACAACTCGCTTATCCCCGACCTTGTTCACTCATCTCACCACAGCACAGAAGAAATGGATGAGAAGGCTCCATGGAAACAAGTCAAAAAGCTCCCCTGGTGCCAATTAGGCCATCCCCATGATAGTCTTCTAGGCATATACGTTGTGTATTTTTGTGAGATCTGGATACTGGGTGGTGATCTTCCGGCTAGTAATTTGAATATTCATCAGCTGGCAGAACTATAGGATGATTCTATAGCTTAATGTCAGTTTTTATATTCTTTTCATCAGCATGGCAGTCTGATTATATACACTGTGGCATTTCCTTTCTGAAGCCTGACTGGTTGATCAGTGCCAAATGACTCAGAATAGATGAACTAAAAAGTGGCATTTAATGCTGAGGTTAATGGAAATCTTTTATCCTGAAACTTGAAGGCACCCCATAAGCTTGCACATAACTCCTCAGATGAAGCCATCTCACTTCTCCAGGCTCCAGCTGGGGGCATTTGAAGCCAAGCAGTTCATTTGTATTATCAATGAAAACTCTTGCCACTGGATGACTAAGCACAACTAACACCAACAATGGTATAGTTTACTCCATCACTCTTCTTATCTGGTGATTCTGTGTAGTTTACCTTGTTCACTATTTGTTTTATGAAGTTGATATATTTTGCAGTACAAATCAGAAATTTCTTGGCATGCTGATAAAAAAAGCTTAAAAAATCATGGGATGCTAACAACATCAGATTCCCACCAATTATGTCGGTTGCATCAAGTTTGAATTGTGTCAAGGGATGATAGTCTATCCATTTCTATTGCCTCGTTCGCATCCATCCAACCTAACGCCAAAGAACTTCATTAAGAAGCTATCACCCCTATATTTCCTACAGAGCAGTGTCTTGCAACATCTGGAACTTCTGGAAGGATTCCCCAGAAAGAATAGGTTAAAAGACTGCTATTTTCTCCTTTCCTGCTTTGGATAAGGACATTCCTCAAGAAAGGCAATAAGAACCAAATTTTACTTTAGCTGCAAATTAAAAAATATTCCATTTCCACGATCAGGATGCAGAGTTCAAAAGTCTTAGTAATCCTGCTTTCTAAAACACAAGTATGCTATGAGCAAACTAAAAGGCCAGATGATCTCAACCATCTGATATCATTCGATTGATCACAAATTGGCCTTCTCATTTATCATGAAAATTAAATCATTGATTGATGCTTTTTGGGCCATTAGATTTGCATAAAATTTTGGTTTGGGACCGATCTTTACTCTTCGAAGAAACAATTAAGAATTATATTATTTGAACGCATAAAAAAAAGGGGCAACTTGGTAATACCTGTTGCTACTTCGCATGCTTCGATGGACAGAACATAAAGGAAGTTAGGGGTAGTTTCTCTCAGTTCTGTTTCCTAAATGGAGCCAATAGCTACATGCAGGACTAGGAGGTTTTCCTCTTGTGAGAAGCTTGTGGCCATAGGCGTGGGCCTTCTAGCTGTGGTTTCACCTCTGTTTATTGATCGGAGACCGGTCAGTGAATTGGAACTTGAAGAGGAATCCATCAACCTTGCTTCTTGGGTACCTCTTCTGCTCTTGGTGCTGATCTTGGCAACTGCTTTATCGTTATATTTAGACAGGAGCTTTACCAGGTTTGATCCTTATTGGATTCACAGATTTGGTGGCTCTTCTGGTGGTATCATGGTAATCCTTGTGATTCTTGCGCTGGTTTTGAAGTGTAAGGCTTCGAATTCCAATGAAGAACTGCGAAAATTGAATGAAATAGCTGCTTCCTGTGACCATTTGACAAAACTCTGATGTGCTTCTGCGACAAAAGTTCAGCTCGTCAGTTTCTTCAGGGAAAATTTCCCCTATTTCCTTCACATAAATTACAGTAGGCAGTTCCTGTGAGTTGTTGTCATTTCTTTTCAAAGAGCTAGCTACTTTAACTTGAATTGCATTGTCGGGTTTTAACTTTCTGCATTTGGAGAATAGAATAAAAAGCTTGTTGATTTTTTATGTAGAGATTGTTGTTTCTTCCAAATACCTTCTTTGTCTCTACATGCATGCCTCTTTCCAAAATCCAATTCCTAGCATGAGGGATAGCCCAATTGATGATCCCAACTCTTCTAGTAGAGAGTAGGCTAGTTTGAGACTGTAGTGCACTAATTCGCTTTTAGATACAAGAGACTCTGAGATCAGATAAAATAAAGCTGTTGAATAAGTTCTATGGCTTCAAAATGCATAAAGCAATACTCTTGCGATGCATAGACTCGAGCAAACTGAATCATATTGGCCAATAGCTGACAGAGGCATTTCTAGGAGAGCAATCAATTCTAAGCATACGGACAGTCACGATTTGAACATTACAGTCAATGCTGATGACAGCAATTTTATAATTACAAAGTTACATGTTTCGTCCAATAACAACCACGATCTGTAGTGCTGCATTGGCACACTATGAACTGATCTGCTATGAAAAATGTTTGCTGCGTCATGACCCGACTAACAAAGATCATAATTTTACTCCAAGCAGTATACTTCTCTTTAATCAGATTATATCAACTATTCAATTTTCTGTCTATACAATTTTCTGAATCAGCAAATAAAAAGACATGAATATGGGGATGCCCAAGCACTGTCCGGTGTTAAATACACTTGAGGATTTTTTGAGTTGATAATCAGGGTGTGATAAATGCTTTGGTTTTCAGTTGTTCCATGGGTCAAGAAAAAGCTGGTTATTGAAGAAGAAACAGGGAGTGGCTTTTCCTGTAAAGCAGGGATGCAAGTAGAACGGTAGAAAAATCAAGCATCCAGGGGGATCTATATGCTGTTGATCAGCACAGGCTTGTCAGTGGAGAATATCGCAGTGGATTTTCTTGAGATTCAAGCACATCAAGATGCTCCAAAACTGGTCCTGTTTTGCATCCAATGATTTGCACCCTGGGGTTTGAGTGGCCATTCAGAAATGCTTCTGTAATCTGCACAGAATGCAGCGAAACATCACTTACTGTACTATCATGCATTCAAACTTGGGTTACTAGCATGTGATTCAGCATTAGCTGGGATGTAATAGAAAAAGATAACCAAATTTCAAAAGCTGAAATGATGATATGCACAGTTTATAAACGAGAGCTTATTATGCTAACAGGAAATACTAAGTGCTCTGAGATGATAAAAAACAGCTATTCAAGCCTAATTTCTCAAACAAGAAACGAAGATCATAAAGTATGCCTCAAACTAAACAGTGCCAATGAATAATTTGTGATGCACGTGGGCATCTTTGAATTACAATGCAGTTCCATAGCCTACCCCTGGAGTCCCAACCCTTGAATCATTGCCATCAGGTATTTGTGATTGGTTCATTTTATTCTGTACTGGTAAAGGAGATGCTGGCCACATGGATAACTATCTAAATGTGCTAGAGTTACCATGATGTAACACCTTTTCCACCATACATCAATGTTAAACATGCTATGCATGAACGTGTAACTAGAAAAATACCATGTAAAACTGAAATAGTATGGAAAGCCCAATTTGTGGCAATAATCAGCACATAATGTGGTCGACATTAGAAAAATCAAAATCACTGCCAAATTTTCCTCTAATCACATATTTTGATGGAACAATAAATTTAAGTATATGGTTCTCTCTCTCTCAGAGACACTCACATGCACATATAAACAAACACAAACACACACACACACACACACACACATGCACGACTGCATGCCGCACACCCTTCATATTTAATCACAAATGGATATACAAATAAGAGATTGGGTACATAATTTCCCAAAACCAGCAGGTAGCACTAACATCTACACAAGGTGAAAGCAAAAGGTTAAAATAAAATTGGCTTGGGAGGGGGTATGCATACCTGCGTGCATCCAAATAGCTTGAGCAGCTTCAGTGAAAAGCAGCTATCAACAATCAGTCCTAGTGCCTCATCTGTTAATTTGCGGCACCATGATAAGTCCAAACTCACCAAATTTCTTGAACATTTGGCAATTGATAAGGCAGTGTTGTGAGCAACCTGTTACAAATTACCCACATGTAAAGTTGAAGATAGGCCAGGCTTCTCTTTTTGGATTTCAAATTATATGAATAGAAATACCGATCTAAAGATTCTTGATGTTACATAAACGCTTTTCAGTAAACTGCTGTATAGAAGAATGTTAACTGGAGAAGAATTTTATTAGGAAATCTTTTCTACCTTGAAGTAGAAAGTTCTCTCATCTTTCTTTCCTACTGGGGTTTGAATTTTCCTAACTAGATAAGGATTTTCGGGCCCATAAACAAGCCCTGTAATAAAAACCATAAATGGAATTTAGTAATAAAAATTCTTTTCGAGCTTGCAACTTTTTTTGAGGGGAGATTCAATTAAAAGTTATGTTCTATGTTAGACTTATAGAATGCCCTGGTGAGAATCTTAAATGTAGACCTTGAAATTCATCAAATCAGCCCACAAGAACCATTAGCATGACCTGCTCGCAGACCCTTTACAGCCTATTTTCAACCAAAAACAGCCCCCTTTTTGCCACAAATTAGACTTCAATCAAGAACCTAATTTCTCTTCATACACATGTAAAATTTTCAAGCATTAGCTGGCTTATATTGGTTACAGAATAATCCTCACTTTCCAACGGCTGTACTAAATCAAGAAGACCAGAGCAGAAGTTAATAGTTAAAAATTCAACTTGCAACGCCAAGAAAATTTAGATTACACAAGAACAGCTTTTTTGGATCCAACTCTTAGCTCAATGCCCTCTACACACATGGCACTCATACAACAAATGTAATAGCAGGTGTGAAAAAACATCTACAACATTATAAAGGTTAAACCATTAGGTTGAGCATGCAATTATACTCAAACTCAAAATACATAATATGAAAACATAAAGTGAAAAACTAGAAAGCAACAGAGTATGAAGTAATCGTGAGATACCATTGCAAGACAACTTATCCATGCTTCCAGGAGAAAAGACAAATTACAAATACCAGAAAAGAAGTTAGGCAAATTACAAATACCAGAAGAGAAGTTAGGTAAGGCACAATGAAGTCTCACCCTGTGAATATTGTTAAGTGAAAGTACATCCAGAGACTGTCCAGAGGCTTCCAAGAAGGCAGCAATAGCTTCATCACTGTAATATGTAGAACTTCCTACAGTTAGATTACATAAACTTATAAACTTATCTCTTAGTACAACTGGTGACGTAAACTACAAAATCACAACGGAATGAAGTGACTCTTAAGAAAAAAATTCCAATTAATTTCCATTTTTCTACAATAGACCTTCAACTAACAGGAGCTCACGTCCAAAAACTTTGGATTTTTCCTACAATAATTTCATGTAACCTCATATCCTAGAGAACTGAATGCTTAAACAACCAAACATAGACTCTCCCATTTATTTGTTATATGGACCTAGATACACCTCTGAGGAAAAACATCTCCTCCTTAACCATATAACCACGTTTCTAAGGGAAAAAAACTCAGCTTTCCCATCCTCATTGACAACTGTGCTGAAACTGAGGCCTTGGAGGACTAAATCCAAGGTTACAAAATTATCATGAGATAAAGACCATTTGATAGGTATTTCTGAACTAAATGAAAGAATTACTTGTTGTGACATCGTACAACTATCACATCATTTGTCATTATTATAAAAACAAGTAATGATCCCCAACTAGTCGGTGATTGAGCTTAGTTGTTGCTGTATGAAAACAAGTAATGACAAATTCATTATTAAAAAACTATGTTGCAGACACTTCAAAATATTGGAACTAGCAATAGTAAAAAACATTATCAACATTAAAAATGCAACTGAAGCACAAAATCATACTCAGTTAATAAACATGTAAATGAAGTTGGGAACTAATCAGGATTGCAGATACAAAACCTGAAACCATTTCGGCAAAGTTTGAGTCTCCTAATTGATCGGCAACCATTGGCTAGGTGTCTTAAAGCAGAGTCTGTCAAGTTATGCAAGTAACAAAGATCCAGAGCACATAAGTTGGGGCAATTTTTGCCCACAATTCTAAGTGATATATCAGTCAGTTGCCTGCATTCAGTCAAAAGCACACTTATCACTAAAAATTATACAGAAGCTGGTTGAGGAGCTCCCATCTATACGTGAAAGTAAATTACTGTAGGAAGTAAGGGAGGTGTACATGCAATTAGCCAAACGAAGCTCTTTCATGTTTATGCCAGATGCTTTGACCAGTCCAATGACAAAATCATCACTAACAGTCTCAATGCCTGATACCGACAACACTTCTAAGTGCTTGAGTTTCTTCAGTGCAGGTAAAATAATCATCGCATCTATATTCTGGCAATCATCTACATACAGCTCCCTCAAAGTAGATTCAAAACAGCTAGTGAAATCACTGATGCCTTGAGATGTTAGAAGGGAGCACTGGCTCAGATTTATAGACTGTAATGCAGGTGCAGACGCAGCCAACTGAGTCAGTCCAATATCTGACAAACGGTGCGCACCCTTCAAAGATATGGTAGCTAAGGAAGGAAGTCTATGTGATGACCTGGCTAGGGTGTCACGTAATACATAATCAGGCATGCATCGTCCACAAAGGTCAAGTTGTAGCACCTGCCACAAGATTTCAAGCAACATAACAATTAATAGTCAATTTTTAATAAATGGCTGACTTAATATAGCCATATACTTTTCCAGAAATGTAGTTTCAAATGGTTATCATAAATACACGCAATTCATATAAAGCTCCCCCAAGATAGTAAAGTTTCTAGTAACATTCCTTGTGGTAATTAAAATTTGAAAACAAAAAATCTCAAATATGAAAGTTATGGAGATCCCTACAACCAGTTTTCCAACAATGATAGGTTAATATTACAATGCCATACATGCAAAAAAGAAACTGAACCGGTAAAGCTACTCACAGTCAAGTCCTTAGTGTCACAAACACCAAATATTTTGGCAAACTCATCTTCTGTCAACCGCGAAATATTCCTCAGACGAATCTCGGTTGGAGATCCCCTTGCAAGAAGTTCAACAAAGTGAGCGTCCATTACTCCACAATCACTAACCAACTGACTAAGTCTATGCCTTAATTTATCTGGAACATGTTCAAGTGAGACAATAGCATCAGCATTCTTTCCAAGAGCATTCAAACTGAGGTCCAGAAGTGTATGAACTTTGCGACTCAGAGCATCACTACCTTCGGCATTTGCAGGCACCCATTTGAAGAATGACTCAGACAAACCAGTTAATGACCCTTTTCGAACATTTTGCCGCATTTTGACTGCTTCCAATGCCAATGAAAATGGACTTTGAGAATCATCCAATTCCACTTCCAATTCCAAATCAATTTCTCTCAATTTAACTTTCTTTTCTTCTTGCTGCTTCAGCTGCTCTTGCGGACCTAAATGTGCAAACCGTGGAGCAACATTCCTGGCAATTTCACGCTGCATCAACTTCTGTTCCTTTCTTCTTGATTTTCTCTCCCTGACGCTTGACAAAGCTATATCCTTTCTAGTGATACCCTTTCTTCTTGAAACATCATAATTCTCCACCAGAGAATTTCTCTCTACGCTATCAGGAAAGAAATCATGCATAAAAGGTCCTAAACTCAATAGCTCTGCTTCAAATGGCCATGTATCCATTTTTCCTTCAACTGGGTCTTTCTCAAATCCCCACAAATCAAGATTGAGATCAAAATCAAGATTCACTTGACTGCCACCACAATCCACTTTAGCCTTCCCCTTCTCTTCGATTGTGTACCTCAATCTCTTACTACTAGTAAAATCACCAGTTTCAACATCAGCGCCTCTTTCTCTTATCCTAAAATCACTACCTCTACCAAAATCATGACCCAGTTGGTCATTTTCAGCTTGTTTCTCTTTCTCTAAAAAATCTTGAAACCCTAAACCAGTTGAATACTCCTCTATTGATAAATTTAAATCAAGACCCCATTTTTCCTTCTCTTTCTCCTTCCCTAAGTCCATCTTTGGAGATGGTTTCCCTTCTTTCTCTATAAATATTAAAAAACTAAAATTTGATTCAAAACTCCATAGGTTTCATCACCAAAGAGGGCTTCTTTTTCTTTGAGAAACCCTCGTTTTGGGCACCAAATACTATTGAACGAAACCCACCAAGAATCTAACTAGCTTTCTCCAAAATAAAAAGTTCTTACCTTTTTGAAGCCGCAACCTTTTTCTTCCCATCATTTCTCGGCTGTTTCCATGCCGTGTTGCTTTGTATAGTTCCCGCTTAAAGGCAACCGAAATTTCTTTGGGCTTTGTGCAATTGCCATATGTTCAAATATTTTCCAACTCGGTATTCTCATGCAGCGAATGGTTTTTTCTTTCCAAACTTTTATAGCAAAATTGGTGCATAAAATTATACATGAGCATATCTTCAGTTGGCACCGGAAGGGGATCTTCAATTTAAAAGCAAAAAATACATTTTTCATTCTTTTTTTTTTTTTTTAAATTTAAGATGGGATTTTCATCCCATTTTACTTCTAACAACACATCATTTTAATTCGGTTCAATAAAGCAGGTAAATCATTCATGTTGAAACTTGAGAAATTTTTTTATTATTTATTTTTAAGAACTTTCGTGACTTAGGTCATAGAATTGGTAGAGTAAAAAAAGAAAAACAACTCTTTGCTCATTACCAAAGTTCTCTCTTTACTATAGAGTTCGAAATACCAAAAAATTATAATACTAATCATAACACCGAAAAGGTTTTACTAAAAGATTAAAAGAAATTGCTATTTTCAATTATGTTGAAAATGCTTTTATTTTAGTGTTATGTATATTATAAAAAAATAATAGTTAATGGTAAAAAGTTCGATGTGGCAAAGGTTTTTGAATGACAATCTATAGATGATATTGAGGTTAAAAGTGGGGACATTATTGTGAAGGAGAATGATCAAGTATGAGTTATTAAATTATCTAATCCATTCAAAAATTGTTTCAAGGAACCTTGAAAGATATCTTCGTGTTTAAGGTTTTGGGGAAGAGAATTGGTTATAAGTCTTTATGTATTCTTCTAAAATCTATGTGGAATGCTTGCTAAACCTTTTGCGTGATCAATATCGAGAATGACTATTTTCTAATGTAGTTTTCAACCAACACAATTTGTCTACAAGCCTTTGTGGGTGGTTCCTCGTCCATCTATCATGGGATTATAGTTTTTTAGCTTCGAAAGTAGAATCAAAAGGGCAATGGTATGGATGAAATTTTTTAATTTGCCTCTTGATTGGTATCACCCTCAATCTTATAAGCAACGAGAAACATGATAGGCACTACAATCAAGATTGATTACAATACTCAAATAAACCTAAGACCAAGTTTGCTTGGGTTGTTATCGACATTGAAGACATGAAGAAAAGGTAATATATGAAGGGTCACCCTAGGTCTACTACACTTGTAGAAGGATTAACCATAGTAGTTTGTTTTATGCTTTACGTAACACCAAGCGAACCTCCTAATCATGACAACAATAATGGTTCGAGTCAATCTCTTACTTGTTTTAGATCTTGCATTGATAACAAACAATCTTGATGATTAAAATTTGCTTGAAAAGGGCATAAGTTTAGGGTCATGGTTTCATGCTTAAATAAAACAAAAGCAAAAAATTGACAAATAGATTTTTTTGATTTAGAAATGTGCTCCAACTAGGACTTTATTACATAATAAGGGCTTCTAATTTGATGTCCTTACTAGGAGAGGAAGAAGTTAATTTGATGTCATTACTAAGTCGAAGAGAAAGAGGTTAAGGTAGATACAATTGTATTTCCTATTCATCCTCAATAACCTAATCATGCATAATCAAGTCAAGTCCATTTTACTAAACACCTTTCAAAGCATGTTGAACCCAAAAAGTCAAAAAAAAAAAAAAAGTCCAAACCCATTCAACTTGTTATCATCTAATTTTTGAATCCTTTGTTTTACATATTCTTCCTAAAAAATAGAAATATGAAAATTAAATGTGTTTTGTTTAATTTGTTTGATTGAGTAATTTTTCATCCTTGGGTTAGGATTTTCTAAGAATTCCATAAGTTTAGGAAGCTTAGAAAACTTCACAAAAAACAAAAACAAAAAAAAGAAGGAGAAAAAATAAAGAAAGAAAGAAATTAGAGAAAAAATAAGTTAGAAATTAGGAATTTTTAGCCAAATTGATTACATATGAGAAATTATACCAAAAAATAATTGAATTAAAGATTCAATTAAAAATCTTGCTAATTGAAATTGCAAAGAAAGAAAGAGGAAAAAGATAAGGTTCAAATGTAGGAAAAAGAGAAAAAATCGGGGCTAATGTAGAAATACATAAAGCTCTAACTATTCTTCACTATAAAAACCTTTCTTTTCTCTTTCGTAATGGGGGAGCCATTTTTTATTCATCTTCTTCTCCAAGAAGAAATCTAGTGAGAGAAAGTAGTCTTTCCCCCATTTCTATTGTCATAGCCCAAATTTCCCTCCTAATTTTTTATCACTTTTATCTTTTATTTTATCCTTTATTTTTATTTATTTATTTTATTTTTTATTTATTAATGATGAAAAATACAAAAACTAACTACATCGGGGGCATAATTGAATGAAACAAAATTGAAATTGAGGCAATTAGGTATATAATTGAATTGATTGAAAAATTTAGAACCACAATTACAAGACCTAAAAACTTAATTAAAAATATTTAAAAGTACAAGGACTAAATTGATACATCAAAATGGTATAATTGAAAAAAAAATCTAATTGATAAGGACCTAAACCAACTAAAGATGTAGAGATAAGACAAACTTAGATCACCTAAATGACTTATCATCCGAGCTCCTTTAATGGAAATCTAACATGCCGGTTTCTATACTCTACCACCTTTTTTACTCGTTTCATCTTCACTAATGAAGATAACGAGTCATAAGAGATAATGTTGTCGACCTCTCTTTGTACTGTAATTCTCGTTTAAGAATTACAATGTACATTCTTCCTATACGCTGCACTTGTAAAGTCGACAACATAAATGCTTAACATAACACACTAAACACACATTTTGGCTCTGTTCATACGGAGCCTAAACATACGACGAGATAAGAAAAGTTTGTTTGGTTATGAAGGAGGAGAGAATTGATCCTAGGGGTGAGGAGATTCTCTTGGGTATAAATAGGGGTAGAATTTAGGGTTTTAAAAGGAAAAAAGAAGGGAATTATAGAGTGGGCAAAGGGTTTAAGTTATAGCAGAATTGAAAAGAAATTATGAAAAAAAGAAATAAGAGAGAAATTAAAGCAAAGATAAACAATAAGAAATTTAGAAATTCTTACTAAACGATCCGAGGAAGAGACACTAGAACTAGTCGTATCAAGATAACTCCTATAGTTTATAGGTTCGAAACAACTTTGCCATTGGTTTGGACATTACTCGCTTCTATCACTACCTACTTCGAGCTCCAAGTAAGATTTTCTTTTGATTCATAATTTCCATTCGTGTTAATGTGATTTTAGCTTTAGTTTTTTTTTTTTTTTTTTGAATAAGTAACGGTAGTGATACTCATCATTGCCATCTTAAAGTAACCTTTCCTCCTTTTTAATTTCACATACACTCACATTATGATTGGTGAGTGAGGAGTGATTGGGATGCTTAAGAGAGGCGGATTTTAAGACCAATGGATCAATTATGGGTTCAATTTTGCTATTTAAAGCTGAAATAGGATACTAATTGTAAGGGTTAGGGATTTTATTTTCACAAAATAACATCTAGGGTATTAGGAAAACTATATGATAAGAGGCAATCGATTGGGGATTAGATTTTTAGAGAAAAAGAGAGATTGAGCTAGTGAGAAAATGAGGACGATCTCGGATTAGGGTTTTGGGTTTGTGAGAGAAAGGTGAGAATAGGGATCCGATGGCTTTCAAAGGTTAGATTATAGACCTAATTGGTTTTGATTTTAGGTTTTGGGGTTTGATTCGAGAAATAAATAAAAGCTAGGTTTTGTTGATTTAAAGCGGAATGAAAAGAGTTAGAAAAAATTGACTAAGGTTTTTTATTTGCTTGAGAATAAAGAGGAAATGGTTTGATGAAGAGGGCTTGGTTATTGGTTGAAGGGGGAAAGATGTAGGAGAGTGGGTTTTCTCGGTTAGGATCTTTAATTTGGAGAAGAATAGATGGGATCTAGGGTTGGATTAGAGGAAAAAATGAAAAAAGATATGGATTTGGACGATGAAAAGGTGGCTCGGGAGGGGAAAACCTTTTAATCTTAGTTGAGTATTTAGGTTCAATTAAAAAAGACAAGGGAGGTGAAAGGTCCGGGAGATTAGAGTTGAAAGAGACGAGAGAAATGAGAGAGAGAGAAGAGTGATTTTGTTTGATCTAAGAAAAATTAGGTATTGGTGAAAATTTTGTTTTAGTGAGATGTATAGTGGTCGATTAAATGAGAATAAGCCAAACCCACACACAATGGTCTAGGTCGATCTCAACGCAGCCTAGCTCATGAAAAAAAAATAAAAGAAAGAGTTATGGGCCCGGCCCGATAGGATGACTGACTTATTGACCCCAAAAAGCCTAATGCCTTAATTTTAGCTCATTTATAGATAAATTGACCTTAAATTTCTTTTTTGCATGCACTTTTTATTTTTTTTCTTAATTTCGATTCAATATTTTGAATTTATTTGAATTCATTTATTTAATATTTAGTCTTAGAATTTACTTCAATAATTAAGTTAAGTAATTAATAGGTGGACGAATCATCAAGCCTCCTAATTTTTAGAAACCGATGATGATTTTTCATCAATAAAAATAAAAACAAAACTAGAAAAGAAAGAATGCTATGAAAAAAAAGAAGAAATTCTAAGGAAAAGATAAAAAAAAAGAAAAAAAAGGAAAGCAAATAAATAAATAAATAAATAAAACACTAGGAAAAAATTAACAAAAAAATAAAAATAAAAAAAATCGGGAAAAAAATTAACAGAATCTCATATTCAAATTAATTAAATTTAGTAATTAGG